CCTAGTTTGTCTAGTGGAGGTACCGGCCCTGGTATCAGGGATTTGCAGATCAGACTTTGTTGGGGTAACTTCCAGGAAGGGGAAGCAGAGCCTGTATGATTAAGTGGGGAGAGCCACATGAAGGAAAGGAGCTGTTTGTGGCTGTAGTTATGATAAAGAGACTGCTGGTCCAGAGACTGCTGATCTAGAGAGGGTCCCAGAATTGATAATTCAGTCTCCTAGGAGAGAGAGGAACTGCTTTATGTGACTCCATAGTGGTGAAGGTCCATTTGGACCCTTTAACATAATCCCATTGATGATGTCCTATTGCAAAGCAAGGGATTTATGCCATTGTGGGACAATTACAAATGTTCATGTTTAACTCTTCTGTGGAATAAAGACCCCTCCAGTTGAAGTATGTGTGCTCCACCTGTTAAGGTTCTCAAAACCGCAGACTCTATACAGCCACTGGCCAGTAAGCGAATAGGACTCTAGTTACTTAGTATTAGTGGAATACAGGGTACTGTCATCTTATACATCTCTTGTCATGGCTTTGGTGTTTATTGAATTGCATGTTGCCCAACACATAAATAGCCTAGGTATGTTGATGAGAGTTCCAGTTACCAAGGTGAGCTATCCTCTAGAGGACCAAACAACCCTACATAATCAGCAGCTCCTTTAAGGGTAGAGCTACAATTGTTTTTACATTTCTTCAGAGTTGCGTTCATTCTTTCCTTTTGCCTACTTTTTTGGGACTGCTTTTGGATGCCCCATCAAACACTGTGACCTTCAAAGATTATTTGGATTTTTTTTATACTCACTGTAAAATCCTTTTTTTCAGTGGTTGATTAGGGGGCCCATCTCCCTCCCATCTTAAAGTTATCTTTATATGTTGTTGACTTATATGTTTTCACAGTTAGGATGTTTCTCAGGAAGGTTATGTTCCATTACCTCCAATTTTGATTGCTATTATTGAGCTTATGGTGTACAGGGATATACCTACATTCCTTGCTTTGCCTAGTGTCCATCTTCTTAGATGTCAAAGAACAGAGTCCCAGAGAAAATTATTTTCTGCTGAATATAAAAAATCCAATTTTGTCACTGTATTTCCCATTGAAGAAATTCTGTCCTCATGACCGCACTGGAAGGTCAGGGTATTCTCTGCAGAGGACACACGAAGCAACATAATCCTAATATATGAAATAAGACTGTATACCATTCTATGTAAAACAAAAAAAGAAAGTTTTGGCTGGACTTATATATGAACTATACATGACTTTTAAGGCTGAACTGCTGAAAGCATAAGGCCATTTGGAAGTATACCCTTTATGCCTCTTTCCTTATGTGTCATGTCTGTGTGTGAGAGTATAGAGACATAATCATGGTAGAAATAAGGAGATAAAAGTACCTTTGTACATTCAAGAAAGGGTTACATCACATTTATCCAACAGAAAGACATTGTACAAATCATACTTTCCAGGAAGAACATAGCATAAATCCTGTTGATTGTACACGTTATAAGTCATCTGTTGACTTATATATTACAGTGCACTCCAAACCTCCATATACTGTACATAAAAAAATACAGGTAAGAGGATAAAGATATGTTCTCAGTGTTGTGGTGCCATCTTATTTTTAGCCAAGAAACAGGAAAGCCATGATGAGGGTGATACTCCAACACAACAGGAAGAATAGATGTAGGCATAAAGAAGGAGAATAGGTCAGGTATGTGGTTGCGGCCCACAGCTCAGGGGGCTTGCGTCATCAAGGGAAAGGGGAAGGAAGAAAAGAATAAAAAAGGGGAGGAGACACCAAAAAGACAGTAAAGAGGGTGGGGGGTGTAATAGTGATGAGAAGGGATTTATAAACCAGTATCACCCATATGAGGATAAGGATACGGCTAAATGTACTTTTTTAACCACTTGCCCTCCTGAGGATTTACCCCCCTTCCTGACCAGGCCATTTTTTGCATTATGGAGCTGCATTACTTTGACAATTGTGCGGTCGTTAAATTACGTACTTTGTTTCCCATGAATTTAGCTTTCTTTCAGTGGTATTTGATTGCCTGTGCATTTTTTTTTTGAGCTATAAAAAAAAGACACAATTTTGAGTAAAAAACAATATTGTTGACTTTTTGCTATTAAACATGTCCAGTAAAAAAATTTACAAAATCAATTTCGGCATACATTTTGGCCAAAATGTATTCTGCTACATGTCTTTGCTAAAAAAAAAATCCCAATACGTGTAGATTAAATAGTTGACGTGAAAGTTATAGCAATTATAAATGGCAGTATAGATACTGGAATTTTTTAAAATGTATTTTTACTAGTAATGGTGGCGCGATCAGTGACTTATAGCGTGATTGCGGGAATGTGGGACTTCGGCGGGCATTCTGACACTGGGGGGGAACTGACTTGGTGTCACTGACATCCCCAGTGGCACTAATACAGTGATCAACACCCAGCACACTCCTTTTCTCTCTAACACCTGGGGTTGTTAACAGACTGCTTATATATGAAGATGTCATATTGCCTGCAGCCGATGAAGCATCAAAGAGAAGTTGTATTTGGGAATAGTTATACAGATGGGAGAAAACTGACAGAAGAGATACAGTAGATAAGGTAAATATAACTGCTGTTTATGGTCACCTCTTAGACCAGCATTTTTTCAGTCACAGCACCCCTTATAAGTATGCAAAATCTCAAGGCAGCCTAGTTGAATTATACCTTGGCCCTGTTTAGATCACATGCACCTTCCCAAAAAAAAAAAAACCCTCTCTAGCAATAACCAAACTGAGCATGTGCAGAGTGCCTCCTAGGACCCTGTGCTATCTGCAGATGGACTGAGGACTGTGGAAAAGGGGAAGGATCAGAAAGACAGGATTAAACAGCCTTTTGTACACAATGCAGAGGATAAACCCCTTAGCTTCCACACTGAGTATAACAAGCATGCTTTACTGCATATACAGACTGATTTTACTGTTGTGAGTTTAGTAACACTTTAAAGCTAAAACCATATAAACCACGCATGCCACATAATTAGAACTCAGATTTTTTAAACTGTAACAAATAAAGTGCAAAAGAAAGTCCAATATAATGTCCCAATTTGTGAAAAGTGCCTGTGTTCATACACACATATCCCAGTACTCCACTTGACAGTGTAATTTGTGCCCCATATGGACTAACACCTGGTTCACATATGTGCCTTCCTGCGGGCCATGTTTTGCGCGGGCACGAGAGCCCATTCATTTGAATGGACTCCCGTGCCCTGGGAAGAAGTCCCTGCACTTCCTTGGAAACCGCAGCCCGCACGGGAACCTTGGTTCTCAGTGCGGTTGCGATTTCCAGTGTGGGCGGTGTGCCATTAGAATTAATGGCACCAGCCCGCAGGTCCGCATTCTTCTGTGTGGGTGGTGCGCTGCATGGATTTTTGGGCGGATCCGCAGCAGCACCACCTGCACAGATGTGAACCTAGCCTAACACTCACCATATGTAGATGACCATCTATCTCTAGTATGGTCAAATATGCTTCCTGAAGATGTCCAGTCAGGTTGAAACGTGGCAGAGTCTTGGTGACGCAACTTCTGCCGACGTCACTTCGGCGGCGTTTTAACGTATCCCCTTTCCCACTTCTAGTACCGGAGCGGGCAGCAACCATCAAGCTGTTTACAGGTGCTGGTCTTTTAGGCATTGAATCAGGTGAGTGTATATTTGTGAGCAGGGGTGGACTGACAACTCATGGGACCCCCGGGCAATAGGGGATCATGGAGCCCCTGTGTCTTTGCCCAAACTCAAAAAAGCCTATGAAAAAGGTACCAGGGGCATCTCATGGGGCCCCCTACTGACCCCGGGCCCTCGGCCAGTGCCTGAGTTTCCAAATGGTCAGTCTGCCCCTGTTTGTGAGTGTAATTTTTTCTAATAAATTACTGGAGTGGTTTTACTCTATGAGATCTTTCTGTGGTTCTTCCCTTTGAACGGATACATCTTGAATGCTGTGTATCTTCTCATAAAATGGAGCAGTTTTAATTATACAAGGGAATGCCCCACAAGTGCTTTTGACCATACAAGAGATAGATGGTCATCTATGGTAAGTGTTAGTCCATGTGGAGCAAAAACTGCACTGTCATGTGGAGCACCAGGATATATGTGTGTGAACACGGGCACTTTGCACAAATTTGGACATTATATTGGATTTTTGTTTTGCACTTTATTTGTTACAGTTTAGGAAATATGAGTTCTAATTATGTGACATGCGTGGTTTTAGTTGATGTATAGTGTGTGATATAGCAAAATGTTTAACTGCAAGCAGTCACGTTATTTTACTTTATTTTTATTTTGTTTTATAGCACAAAATTATCCAAGGGGCTGAGCTTTATTTATTTTATATATTAACACTTTAAGGCTCTCTCTGCAGATCAATGTAACCCGTTTCCACTTCAAACAAATAAACAAGCAGCTGTATTCACATAAACAAAGTTTTTTTTTATACATCAGCTTAACTTTAGCATTCACAAATGTACATACCCTTTGTAGATAGATTACTTTATTGCTTTTACAGTTGCATTAAGTTTTTTTCCTAGATTCTCGGGCATTCCTACATTAATCTGGATATATTCACAGGATTATCCCATGAAAAACCTGCATGTAGTTCCTGACTTTATGAGCATAGCAAAACATGATGATTTTTTTAATAGGAATTAAACAGATAATGGTGAGTCTGTGATCAGTGCTAAAGAAAACAATCTCATTTTTTAATTAACTGTATTTTAATAGCTTTAATTATAACTGAATTATTTAAATATCAGGGGAAACAGTTAAAACTCCTTAAAGCCTTTTTATTTACATTTTAAACACTTAATATATATAAACCTAGGCTGCAATTGCATTTTCTGGCTGTCATACAGACGCAATAGGATTAATATTTTGTGGGGTCAATGCATGCTTCAGGAGACTTTTCCATACCTTTATAAAGAATACCCTAGAGCAGCGTACTGAACAGGAATGAAGTATAGGAACAGACCCTCTAGGTCATGGGTGTCAAACTGGCGGCCCTCCAGCTGTTGCCAAACTACAAGTCCCATAATGCTTCTGCCTTTGGGAGCCATGCTTGTAACTGTCATTTTGCAATGCCTCATGGGACTTGTAGTTTGGCAACAGCTGGAGGGCCACCAGTTTGTAACCCGTGACCTAGAGGGTCTGGTCCTATACTTCATTCCTGTTCAATTGAATGCAAGAAGGCCACAAGGGTCATTTCACATGAAAATGAATATTGTGCTTTTAATTAATGTAAACCAGCTGTTCGGGCTAAAGAGTTGGCCACAAGACATAAACAACTGACTTACACATTTTAACCCACCATCCCAAAATGCAGTCCAAAACTTTTTTTCTATTTTGATATATGAATACATTCTGATTTAACAGACAATAGCTTTCTTAAATGTCCTTTATTTACAACACAGATTATTATCATTTTATAGCATAATGAAGTATTTTTGTATCTGGGGCACAGGGTTTGTAACAATGTTTCTGCCCTTGAAAAAAAAAAAAAAGAAAATTCAAGTTACACACAGTTAATTTTATATTGTTTCAGTTCCGTACTACTTTACCATACTATATTTCCTAGATTATGGTGCATAACAACGCAGTTTAAGGGCCCTATGACAACAGATCAAAATAATATTGATTTGATCTTGAAAGAAAATTACAATGAAGCTTTCTTAAATTGTTTACAAAAGATAGAAAAATGAATCAACTCAAAGAAATGAAAATGTTACATTAACCACTTGCCCTCCAGAGGATTTACCCCCCTTCCTGACCAGGCCATTTTTTTGCATTACGGCGCTGCGTTACTTTAACTGACAATTGCACGGTCATGCAACGCTGCACCAAAATTAAATATACATCCTTTTTTCCCCATGAATTGAGCTTTCTTTTGGTGGTATTTGATCGCCTGTGCGCTTTTATTTTTTTCCCTATAAAAAGAAAGCGACAATTTTGAGGAAGAAAAACAATATTTTTGACTTTTTGCTATTATTATTATTATACAGGATTTATATAGCGCCAACAGTTTGCTCAGCGCTTTACAATATAATATTAAACATGTCCAGTAAACGAATTTAAAAAATGTAATTTTGTCATAACTTTAGGCCAAAATGTATTCTGCTGCATGTCTTTGCTAAAAAAAATCCCAATACATGTAAATTAATTGGTTTACGTGAAAGTTATAGAGTTTACAAATGACGGTATATATACTGGGATTTTTTACAATTTGTTTACTAGTAATGGTGGCGATCAGCGATTTATAGTGGGACTGCAGGACTGCAGCGGACATTCTGACACTGGGGGAACTGACTTGGTGTCACTGACATCCCCAGTGACAGCAATACAGTGATCAGTGCTATAAAAAAAAAGCACTGACACTGTACTAATGGTACTGGGCAGGAAGGGGTTAACATGAGGGGTGATCAAAGGGTTAACTGTGTGCAGGGAGTTTTACTAAGGGGCGGTGTCTGTGTGCTTCACTGTAAGCACACTGCTTTGGATGGCTGTGCTGTGCACAGCCTTCCAAAGCAGTGTGCCCGAGCTGACAGGAAGGAGAATTGTTAGTAAACAAAACAGTTCTCCTCTCCGTTGGAGATTGTCGGTAATCAGCGGGCGCTGGCGAGTAATCACTGGCCAGGACCACCTGGTGATTGACAGCCGCGCCCCCTACCCGGAAATGCAAATTCACGTATATATACGTGATTTTGTGCACCCGTGCTGCCCTGTAGCAGTATTGCTGATAGAGAACATATTGTATTACCAATGGAATGTACCCAATAAGAACTTAAAAGTATATAAACCATGAAATCAGTTTCACAATTTGTCTCATCTTCTTTCATCTGTCAGTTGGTTTGGTGCAACCTACAGTATGTGTGTGCAATGTACAGTAGTGATGGTCATCTCCAACTAGTAGCAATGTGCACACTATTTAGATCAATGATATCCCACTAGAACAGGGGTACAAGAAACCTTCAGAAACCTGCGAGGGGACCCCAAGGTTTTGACCGCCTAGGGGCCTCCACAGAGTTTATTCCAGCACTGACTCAAAAGTACTAAAGTCAGACACAGCCAGGAATCTAGCATTTTCAGAAGAAGGAAAACAAGGATTGCTTCAATCCATTCTATATTGACTATGTGCAGCTTTGAAACAGGTCACCCTAATGTGAAGCTGATTTTCCATATCCAATATCCCAACATTTCGAGTCTGGAACTATTTAAAAGCAATGTTGTGCTGAAATACACTAGTCAGCATAATGTTCACTGAGCATTTTTCTTCTGTGACTCCATTATGGACCAGTTACAGAACACTGGTAACTTGATGTTGTCTAGGTTTTAAAGTGTATGGTGAGTATGTGCCTGATAGTAATTCTTCTATTCACATTCTCATCGAATATTTATATTTGCCAGAAGATTGCAGACAAACATGAGGCTTTAAAATAGTATATGAAACACATGTTTACCTATAGGCTGTCTGCTCAGCTATTCATTAAATATGTACCAGCAAGCAGGTGTGCAAGTAAGCAGTCTTTAACCGGGTTAGTATAGTCATTTGTATGGACAAAGGCCATGGGCAAATATGAGTTCTTTTATTGTCATAGATGCTGACTATGAGAGCTTCATGATATGTCTATCCAGATGACGTTTTCTGTAATATCGCTACACACCTCTACACATTCCTGTGTTCTGTTTGACCCATTTGCTTGGACTAAGTGCCACCGGCTAAAGTAAAGTCATGAGTCCTCCCAGTCCAATTAGTGCTCCCAGCACAATTTGCCCGAGGCTGCTCTTTGGGCTGTGTCTGCTGTGTTGAAAAAGAGCGTGATTTGCTCATTTATTGCTAATACAAGCAACTTAGACAAATACAACAATATCACTCCCACAGTCCTGGCAATTTATATCACCTTATGCTGTTATTTCACTTGAAGCAACACTATGGGGCTTATTTACTAAAACTGGAGAGTGCAGAATCAGGCTCACTTCTGCATAGAAACCAATCGGCTTCCAGGTTTTATTGCCAAAGCTTAATTGAACAAGCTGAGGTTAGAAGCTGATTGGTTTCTATGTAGAAGTGAGCCTGATTTTGCACTCTGCAGCTTTAGTAAATAAACTCCAATATCATTGTACAAATAAGTCGCCTATTTTCTCATTCCATGATTTCCACACCATAGATGAAATGACCTTTGTTAAAATAATGATCCCAATGTTGCAATGAATAGGGTATCCCTCCAGCACATGGGCACCATACTCAGCCTTTACCCAGTCAAGATGCAGCTATCAATGTCACCTGTTCCCTGGCTAGTAAGATTAAGGCCGTATTAAACCTCAAACGAAAAAAGTAATATAAAGCAGTTCACAACTCCTTAAATGTGGTGGTTGCATTAGTTTTCTTTTTGTAGGCTTTTTCCCCCTGTTTTCACCTGGTGATCTGCTCAGTAAAACCTCATCCAGAGTCCCCTCCAGTAACACATCTCATCCGGAGTGCCCTCTAGTACCACACCTCATCCGGAGTCCCCTCCAGTAACACACCTCATCTGGAGTGCCCTCCAGTAACACACCTCATCCAGAGTGCCCTCCAGTAACACACCTCATCTGGAGTCCGCTCCAGTAACACACCTCATCCGGAGTCCCCTCTAGTAACACACCTCATCTGGAGTCTCCTCCAGTAACACACCTCATCCGGAGTCTTCTCCAGTAACACACCTCATCCGGAGTCTTCTCCAGTAACACACCTCATCCGGAGTCCCCTCCAGTAACACACCTCATCTGGAGTCCCCTCCAGTAACACACCTCATCCGGAGTCCCCCTCCAGTAACACACCTCATCCGGAGTGCCTTCCAGTAACACACCTCATCCGGAGTCCCCTCCAGTAACACACCTCATCCGGAGTCCCCTCCAGTAACACACCTCATCCGGAGTGCCCCCCAGTAACACACCTCATCCGGAGTCCCCTCCAGTAACACACCTCATCCGGAGTCCCCTCCAGTAACACACCTCATCCGGAATACCTTCATTCAGGATGAAGGAGAACAGGGGCACATCAGAAAGTAGAATTTTAAGTCTGGGGGGAGGATACTGTTACATGTACTATCAGATTTAAACACACTAACAAATTGAAGCCAAACTCAAGCTCACACTTTATAAACAGAGCAACACTTTTTTTTTTTTTTGGGATAAAGGTTTACATAAATAATTAAAAGCTGTTCACAGGGGCAGACTGACCATGGGGCTCTCGGGCACTGCCCGAGGGCCCGGAGTCGGTAGGGGGCCCCATGAGATGCCCCTAGTACCTTTCATAGGCTTTTTTGGGTGTGGTTTGAGTGTGGGCGAGGACACAGGGGCCCCATGATCCCTATTGCCCAGGGGCCCCATGAGTTGTCAGTCCATCCCTGGCTGTTCATTGTAAGCATCTCTGTCAGTGTTAAATGTTTTGTCTAATTCCTGCAAACTGCTACATCTACAAGAGAGATTGTTGTTTTGAAAAAGAACAGACTTACTGGCTGGATCACCAGATGAAAATAGAAGAAAGAAAGCCTAAAAAAGAAAACAAATGCAGCCATCACATCTAAGAATTGGTATGTTGCAATATAATAAATGTTTTTTGGGGGGTTTAACACTGTTTTAACATTGCCGCAATTGTATGCTATTCGATCTACAATTACTTTACAATTTATATGCTGAAATTCCAGTGGAATTCTGGGATAAAACTATCGAATCTTAAAACTGCCCTCACCCCTTCTGACACTATACTAGCTACCCTGTAGAAGAAAGATGCATATTCTTATTTATTCTCAGGCCATTCTGGTCTGGTCACGTATCTCCCCTCTGTCAGCTAGCAGGGAAGAAGAGGGAGTGCCAACAATGGATGGCCCATAGTAAGTCTATGGGTGGTGTCACTACTCTCTCCTGTAGCAGATGCTGGCTGACATCAGGGGAGATCACATGCTCGAACTGGAGCAGCCTGAAAATAGGAAAGTATATGCATCTTTCTGCAGGGTAGTTAGTATAGGTGAAAAAGAGGGTTGGGAGCAGTTTTAAGATTTTACGTTTTATCCTGGGATTCCACTTGAATGTGCTGGCAGACACTTTGCATGGAACGTCTGGCTGAAGTTCCAGCTTCCTCCAGCGGTTATATGACAATGTACTTGCATTTAT